ATATTTAATATTATTAATTTTTTGTACTTAATGTTTATACATAAAAAAGCCATTATTTCATAACGTTATAAATCGAATATAAAAAGAACAGAACTGCCAAGTCTAACTTAAAGACCCCGTCAACTATATATATAAAACAAAATGCAAAATATATTAACTTCTTAAGAAATACCTTTACCATCATTGATAATTTTTTTTTGGCTGCATACTTGTATATAATTAACATGATTGCATAGAGCTTGGAAAAACCTAATTCAGCTTTAAAAACACAATCAAAATATTTATTAAAGATGTTTTATACAACTAGATGTTAGCTTGTTGTTGCTTTCAACTTTAATTTAGTTTATTTTAAGAAAATTTTATTAACTTAGTTAAAAACTTGATAATTAAATTTTATTAATATAGTTCAATTTAATTATGCAAATAAAATACTTTATCCTAATTATAAAACCTAGTAAAAGATTACTACATTTGTCCAACAACATCTGTAGAGTAGTCTAAGATCATTTGTATACTTTTGTTCAAGATCATCTGTATTTTTTTTATTCCATCAACATTTGTTCAGTATTATCTGGAAATTCAATGATCCCTAACAACATCTTTAGGAAGATGTAACTATATCTGGTAATTTTCTCTCAGCCTGTAATCCATCTGGTAATTTTTCTCCAACAATGTCTGGAAGAATTTTCTCCAGATGTAACTAGATCGAAAAAAAACCCATATATGAAATTACATATGTCTAAAAGAATGCATTTATGTTTAATATTTTTTTCCAGATGTAACTACATCTTAAAAAAACTATATGAAACTACATCTGGTTAATAAAACGCATTATATTATTTTTTTCCAAATGTAACTACATCTGAAAAAAATATATATATGAAACTACATCTGGGTAATATAATGGATTTTAATTTAATAACTCCATAAAATCCTGTAGTTATATTTAATATAATTGAAAAGATGTAACTGGAGAATTCACAGACGGTTAGCTATATTTTGAATGATACAAAAGTAGGTTCGCAATATTGAAGAAAACATAGACCTAGAGTGTCTTCACAAGATATTATGCATTTAAAGTTTTTATTAAAATGTAGGACCTACCTTTAAATCATCCTATTTAAACATTGCTATTTATAAATTCAAATTCTTGAGCAATTTTTGATAATGAAATGAATGAAGACAATTATTCCATCAATTTGCATTTTCATTTTATCTTTAATAATTATGGAAAATATCTCAGTAACATTTTATTGTTTCTAACATTGTTTTAAAGTTGTTTGTCAAGGTTCACAAGTTAAGCAAAGCACTACCAGGAGCGTGGTGGATTGATCTCAGAACTTCTCGCTTATGAGGCAAGCTATCGCTATTTATCACTTTGATAACTAAAATGCACTCTACAAAATGATAATTAGTAGCAATTTTATTATGAAAAGAGATTTATTTGACCATTTGATCAACTGATGTTAAGGTAGCAAATACTTTAAATAAAAAACACTCACTATTCTCAACAAAAGCATGACTTGCTTTGATACATTATTCATAGAAATTTTTCAGGAATTTGTTTTGAACACATCTTTACAATTATAATTTCTAATCACATGAACTGACTTTTATTAATGAGTTAAGTAGACAACATTTTAATCAATATAACATATTTTGTATTAGTTATGTATATATACTATCTATGAAAGATTTTAATTCTATACAGATATAATCAATATAGAATAAAATTTATAATTAATATGCATACATCCTATCTAATATCATTATTATAGAATATAAAAGTATAAATAGAACAAAAATGTATAAATGATAAACATTAATTTCTTCTTATATCAATATTATGAATATGATTATAGATATATTATAATGACATCGCAAATATAAGATAGAAATCTATAACTTTTTATATATCTTAATGTAAATGTAAACATGGACTTCTATAACCTTCTATTTATTTCGAATGAAGGTAAATATAAGATTTTGTTATAAAAGAATTTTTATAATCTTTTTTCATTATATAAGAATTATTATAATTAATAGAAAAACTCACCATTGTAATTTATTAATTTTCAAATTTAATAAACAAGTTCTAATAAATTTTAAGTTCAACAAACTAGTTGCTATTAGAAGAACGCGCGTTGTTTTTAAAAACAAGGTTTAGAATTTAAACCTACTAAAACAACGCATGCGTTAAAAATTTCCTCAAGTCTTAGAGTCCGGCTAACGAGATGTTTCAAAATCGGACTCTGCGAAACTCAAAATTTTTAACCAATCAAAACAGGGATCGATCTCAGGAAATAGCCGTTCGTAAAACGCTAATATTCCACCATCTTTTTAAAAACATTTTAACACTGTTTTTAAAATTTAGGTAATTAATTTTTTAACTAACAACCCGGTTTTTATTGTTATTTTTATATTTTATGATGTACATACATCGACTGACATATAGGAATTGGCGCAACTAAATGTACATGTATCGACTGACAAATAGAAATTGGCGCAACTAAATATACATACATCGACTGACAAATAGGAATTGGCGTAAGTAAATGTACATATCTACTGACAAATAGGAATTGGCGCAATTAAATGTACATGATTTTGGTCAGGGTTTGGTTGGGGCAGGAAATCAATAAAAAATGCGTTTTAAATTGAAGCGTCGATAGAAACCAGGGTTTTTCAAAGTTTATATTGAAAAAGAATTTTATTATAACCGAGTATGACAAAGATGGCTAATATTAGCGTTTTTAATGTGGATTTTTATACTTTAACATCAAATTAGAGTACTTTCCTCAAGTTTTCAGACCTATGTTTTTATATGATTTAGAATCAGTATAATATACTCTATAAAAATCAATCATAAAAACAGGGGGGGGGAGGGAGAAAGTCGAGTAGCGCCGAATAAGAAATAAGATAAAAGTAATTTTAACTACATATAAAATGTACTATCTTTATTTTTCTTTAATTGAAAATGTCCGCTATCTTTTTATACATTGTTTTTACTTTAAAATTTAACTTTACTTAAAGCGGACTACTTACTCCGATATAGGACAATCTACTCCGGAGTAAAATGTCCTATCGGACAGTTTACTCCGGCGGACCATTTACTCCGTGACAAGCCAACCAACACAAAAATAAATGCTTTAATACAAATGAATGAAAATTTGCTCAGTAAGATTATTTTTCTAAAAATAAGCCAGATTTGCCAGAGAACTCATATATATATATATATATATATATATATATATATATATATATATATATATATATATATATATATATATATATATATATATATATATATATATATATATATATATATATATATATATATATTAGGGTAGGCTAAACGCCCCTCATTTTTGAAAATCAAAAGGCACTGTTTTCCATGTGGTGTGGGTGTACTCTGTGATCAATAAAAACCAAAGTTCAACTCATTTGCACAAATTTTGGACCCCGCTCAATGGGCTCAAATATCAAATTTTGGCCTCAAAAATCCATATAATGACCGGTAAGATAACCTTCAAAATAAAAATCTCAAAGGCACTGTTTTTTGATTGATTTTTTATGTTCATATGATCATTTTAAGCCTAACTTTATGATAATTGAATAAGACTAAGACTGTGCTCAAGAATTTTGGACCCTGAGGTCTGACCCGGTTTCCTTATAAATTAACCGGTTTTTAAAACATTTTTTATTAAACGGTTTGTTTATTTTACTTAGATCGTGATAATTTTAGACGTCCTATGCAGTAATTCATTTTTTCGCATAGAAAAATCGTTGAATAATTTTAGTTTTAGATAATTATGGGAAAAGACACAAGATCAAAGTATAAAGTTTTTTTGATAAATGATATTATCGAAATACTATCATCATCTCAATTGCCTACTGGAGAGCAAGCTCTGCAATATTTACATGGCAAACTATTCAAAGCAAGAAAAGAAAATTTAAAATATAGACTCTGTGATATGGTTTCTTGCAAATTTCCACATGGGAGTTTTGAAATTGGTTGCAATAACCCTGGAGGGTGTAATTTTCTTAAAAGCACATGTGTTGTTTCGTCACTGAAGAAAATCTGGAAAAGAAGTGCAATCCCAATAGTAGCTGACCAACATATTAGGTAAATAATAATTGTATACACAGTATTTATTTATTTTTAAAACTAAAACTTAAAGAGTCTTACTGTAAGAATAAAATGTTGTTTCTTTATATAGAAGTAAGATATTGTGCTTGGAAGATCGTAGAAAGAAACTATCAAAGAACAAATTGCGTGACACACCACACAATTTAAGAAAAATAGACGCTTACAAACTTGAAATAAAGTGCTTATTTGATATTAGTGTGAATGATGCACAGCAAAAAATTCTATTGAATAAGCAAGTCACTAAAAAGGAAAGAAATATTGATATAAACTTTTTGAATGATCAACGAGGAGAACGTAAAGCTGTCATGGGTGGAATAGACAAGAAGTACTTATTTACTACTCGTAGAAAGCAAAAGGGGATTGAGTTTACCAATAAGAGAATGACTACTTCAAATAGTAACAGATTAGCTTCTAAATTTATAACCAATTTAACTTTAAATCAGGTTAGAAATAGCAGTGTAGAAGCACAGAACAAAGAGGATAATCAAGATTTTGAATATCAAAAGGACTGCAAACCAAGATCTCATAAGAGAAAACCAGATTTTGTTGAAGTTATGCTACCTAGAAAAATCTTAAAGGCCACTGCTGTTACAGCAAAGAGATACGGTATTCAGAGTTCAGCGCATACCGCTACATTGGCTAATGTCATCAACTCAGCAGGCGGAAATCTAAAGGACTTTGATATTTCTGTTACATCAGCAAAGGTTCATTCAAGTGCTGTAATTAGTGAATATGGTTTAAAAGTTAAAGAAGATTTTTTTGTAAAAGCTAAAGGGAAACTACTTTGTGTTCATTTTGACACAAAAATAGTAAAAGAGTATTTTTATGGTGCGAATATAAATGTTGAGCGGTTAGCACTAGTGATTTCAAGTCCTAGTATTGATAAAAAACAACTTATTGGAGTTCTTTCTATCACAGATAGTCGTGGAATAACACAAGCAAAAGCAATTAAGGAAATACTGGAATCTTGGAATCTCTGGGGATTCGGTACATAGTGTATGTTTTGACACTACATCTTCAAATACAGGTGAGAAAAATTAACTCAATAAAATAATAAAGACATTTTATGACATTTTGTATTATGATATTTTTGTATTTTCATAATTTTTATTTAAAAAATTTCACATTGAATAAATGAATTAAATTAAGGCTGGATGCAGGGTGCCTGTGTATTGCTAGAAAAATGGCAGGGCAGACCATTACTATGGTTTGCCTGCAGACATCACATATATGAGCTTCATATTAAGGTTAGAAATAGAACTATTAAATAATTTTATTCTTGGTTTACTCATATAGCCTTTTCCTAATCTCATTTGTCATTATCTAGCATGTAGCACTTGCAGTTTCTGGAAATATGTCTGATGGACCAGTTGATAATCTTTTCAAAAAAATTCAAAATTTCTGGGAAACTATTAAGCCTGACATAAATTTAAACAATCTTAACAGGTTTGAATGGAGCAAGAGAAAAGGAACATTTTTAGAAGAACAGGTAAGGAGAATTGCATATTTCTTTTTTCTGAAAAATTTTAAAACAAAATAAACTTATTTGCATTATATTTTTTCAAAGGCTCTAAAAACCAAAATATATCTTGAATACGCCTTGTTTACAGAAAAGTTTCCTCGTGGTGACTATAAGCATTTAGCAGAACTTGTTTTGGTTTGGCTAGGCAGTGATAAGCTTGGAAATTTTAAGTTTCGTAAACCTATAGCTTTTCATCATGCAAGATTTCTTTCAAAAGCTATCTACTACATGACAATAGAACGGCTTACATTTCATTTGCAACAATTTGATATAATTAGGGAAGAAGAAATAGCAACAGTCCCTCAAATTGCTGAGTTTATTGGGCTTTTTCATGCAAGATGGTTTCTGAAAGCACCATTGGCAGTTTCTTCTCCTTCTTTAGACTTATGTGCAATCAGGGATATGACCAAGTATGGATCATTTAAGAAAACTGTGTCAACTACTGCTATTAAAAGTATTAAAAATCACTTATGGTTTCTTACAGAACGAAATGTTGTGTTTGCTCTTTGCGACGAAACACTTGACAATAACATTAGAGAAAAAATTGCCAAAAAGCTATTTTTATATCCTAGACCTTCAAATTTAACATTGGGAAAACCACTTTTTCCAAATATTGACATAAAAAAAATTCCAGAGTTATGGCAACTGGTTGGACCTCAAAGTTGGATTCTCATTCAGCAGCTAAATTTATCTGTAATAGAAACAGAATGGATGCAAGTTAGCTCCAAGTAAATATTTCTCATAAATTATTTCTTATGTTATTTTTTGGCACTTTTAAAATATTTTAGGATAACTATTTTATTTTAGAGATTGGAATAATTTCTCAGGATATAGAGTTCTGAAAACATTCGTAGAAAAATTAACAGTAGTAAATGATTGTGCTGAGAGAGGAGTAAAGCTCATCCAAGACTTTACACACATTTGCCAGGATGAGAAGTTAAAGCAATCTTTGATGATTTCAATTTCAAATCACAGACAAAAGTTTTCAGTCAATTCCAAAAAGAATTTGTCTGAAATTCTTTAACATGCAATTGTTACATGAAATTGTTTATATGATTATTAAATATCAAAATATATATCAAAAGTTGTTATTTCATATATTTATGCCAGGTTTATTTATAAAAAATTTCATTTCTATAAATAAAAATTGTAATTTTTACTAATAAATATGGAAAAATAAGCTTTCTAAATACGTATATGTGCATAATTATTAGGGTAGGCTAAACGCCCCTGATTTTTAAAAATAAAAAGGCACCGTTTTCCATGTGCTGTGGGTGTACTCTGTCTCTGTGTACGTCTGAAAACGATTTTATTTTTTAGTTTTGATTTGTATACAAATTAAATATTGCATAACTCGATCTCTATAAGATAGTTGAGAGGGTGTTCTCTATATTTCTAGAGAATTTAATAAAGTCATTTATCAAAAAAACTGATATTTTGATTTGATGTCTTTTCCCGCTTTGTTTTAAATAATATAATGTAATAGATTATTAATAATAAAAATATTTTTTATATACTGCTATATAAATATGTCATACTTTAACTTAAATAATACACAAACAAACACTTTATTCAGTGATTCAATTAAATTCAAGTGAACTTTTTTGTTCAAAAAGTTAAAAAAATTGTATACAAATTGAAGGGGGATAGGCATATCCTCCACCCCTGCCTAACCTTACCAACAACTTCAATCTTATTTAATAAAATGCTTTTATTTGTAAATAATTTTGTTATCCAAAAAAAGTAATTACAAATAAAAAGTCCCCCTAAAAATTTGCAATCCATCCCAATATAATAAAAAACCCGGCAGTTTTAAAATGTTGTAGAAACCGGGTGTTTTTTTAAGAAACCAAGTCAAAAATTTAGTCCTTTTAATGCTTGTAGACAGCCTAAATCTTATTGAATTACGATGGGAATAGGCTTAAAATAATCGTAAACTTCTAAAAAATCAGATGAAAAGCATTATTTTTTTATTTTTATTTTTTAAGGGTGTTTGAACCGTCGCAATTCGAATTTTTGTAATAAAAATTCGATCTTTGAGCCCATTGAGCGGGGTCAAAAAATTATCCAAATAATTCAAATTTTGTTTTTTATTGGTCACAGAGTACACCCACAGCACATGGAAAACAGTGCCTTTTGATTTTCAAAAATCAGGGGCGTTTAGCCTACCCTTATATATATATATATATATATATATATATATATATATATATATATATATATATATATATATATATATATATATATATATATGCATGAAAAAGCTAATTACTAATAAATATAAATGCATGAAAAAGCTAATTACTAATAAAAATATTAATGTGATGAATGGCGTTTATGACAAGCCACAGTTTCAACCAGCTAAAGTGGCATTTATTGCATGTCCTTTTTATGAAGCCTTTAGTTCAGCATAATATATCAGCAGTGTGAAACAAAAGTTTACTTATCATACCTCATGTGAATTATAAATAGTGATCATTCAGGTCATGTTTTTAAAATGCCAAACATTTTTCCAAAAATTATTCAAAAAATGTTTTTTAGAAATATATGGAAAAAATACGGAAATAAAATGAATTTTGTGTAAATAAAAAAATATATATAAATATTATAAATAAGATTATTTAATTTGTTTAAAAATGTTGCAGTTGGTATGTAAGCTTTGAATAAAAAAAACTAATTGAATAAAATAATATGATTTAAAAAATAACTTTTTTATAAAAATGCAATATGTGATATACTTAAAATGAGTACTGCAAAATGAAAAGAAGGTTATATGAGTTATTTCACGCAATATTTGAGTCGCAGCTGACAAGTTTCCAGATTGAACTCTCATAAGGAAACTTTTTTTTAATTTTAAAACTTTATTAAAAAGTAATAAGATTTTAAAATTAAGTAAGCTTTATATTTTTAACTATATTTTTTGTTTATTTATAATTGTGTTTGTTATTTAATTTTACTTTTCAAAAATTTCATAGAATAAGCCTACCAATGCATACATAAATTGGCTGATTTAACTGTAGTTACAGTAGAGTGTACATACATCAACGGAGGATATAAGTTATGGTATAAATTCTTTGATTTAAAAGAAAAGTATTTTAACATTAATTTATAAAGGTTTCACTGGATTTTTAGGTGAAAATAGTCAAAATAAATAATAACTTATGTTTAAATAGGTGCATACAAATAATTTAAAATTAGTTGCCGCGCATAAAAATTAGTTTACAAAAAGTTATGAATAATTAAATTAACTAATTACAAATAATGCCTACCTAACTAAGTATAGCATTGCATAATTTATGTCTTCTTATACTAAACTAAGACACAGATGTCTTCTTTAAATAAACAATGCTTTTCAGCAAGTGAAAGAAAACAACACTAGAATGACAAATTAACATTTTGAATAACAGCATTTATTGTGCATTAATAAAAACATATTCTAAATCTGCTAGTTTATTGGAATAATCATATTTAAGTTGATGGATTGAAATGTTTTATTTCATGATGATTTAAAAACTTGCTTCTCATGTATGCATTCTTATTTAATATAGTATGCATTTACTTTGTATGTATTTAGCAACACATAAACGTGCATTTTATTATAAAAGAAACTTTTAATACACTACATTTTTTTACTTTCACTCAAGTAATTTTATTCTAGCAGTACTCTTTCCATTGCAAAGATATTATCTATTTAAGCTGCTTTTCAACTGCATGAAAATTTCAACACAACAACATTAAACTCTTAAATGTTCACTATTAATATTTAGATAATAACCTATTTAGATGAAAATACAAGTAAAGTAGTTTAAAAACAAACTAGACAATTACCTAAAAGTAGTTTGTAAAAGTATAAAACAATCATTTATGATTAAAGATTGGAAAATATATTACATACATAATATATTTGTATGACAGGTTGTCATGCATTCATGCCTATACAAATCCAATTTGTAAACCTTATAAAAGATTATTAATAATAAATATGTAATAGTAATACCAAAAATATTGTTTTATATTTGAACTAACTGTGAAACAAAATCATCTAATGTAATGTTACATTTCTCAAATATGAAATGCACAGCAATATTACTTTGAGATTAAATATTTAATATTTCAAATGTTTAAGTTATGTGTAAAACAGTAATCACAATTCACAAATCTATTAACTTTGAATTGCGTAACGACCTCAGCGTTAACGAAACAGATTGTAAGTCGTTATGCATTGAAATAAATAATAAAGCGACCAAAAATATAATTATTAGTTCTATTTATAGAAAGCCATCTGGTAATTTAAAAAAGTTTCATACTTATCTAAAAACATTTTTAAGCAAAATTAACATTACAAAGAAACACGTGTACTTAACTGGTGATTATAATTTAAACTTGTTAAATCATACTTCAAATCTAAATGTTCAATGCTTTTTAGATACACTTATACAATACGATATCATTCCCACTATAAATAAGTCGACGAGAATAACTAAGACTTCGTCGCCCTTACTAGATAACATATTTACTAATAATTTTCATAATTGCCCTTTAGAATCGGGTATAATTAAAACTGACATAACAGATCATTACCCAATATTCTTAACTACAGATAATATAACCCTTAATCATTCTGTCTCTAAATCAACAATATCAATGCGACAAATCAATAAAAACTCCATGATATATTTTCGAAATCTTTTATCTGAAAAAACTAATTGGGATCTTATATAACAATCGCAAGATGTGAATAATGCGTATGAATTATTTTTGGCGCAGTTTTGTAAATACTATGATTTGGCATTTCCAGTTATAAAAAAAATTATAAATCCTAAATCACTTTTAAACCCTTGGATGACCAAAGGTTTACTCAAATCATCAAAGAGGAAACAAAACCTTTATGAAAAATATTTAAAACATAAAACATATAAAAATGAAACAAAATATAAAAATTATAAAAACTTGTTTGAAAAAATAAAGAAACAATCTAAAAAAAATTATTATGCAAAATTGCTAGAAAAAACACATGGAAACACACAAAAGACGTGGAATGTAATTAAGCAGATAATCGGTACAAATAAATGTCAAAATAATAAATTGCCAGAAAAACTTTTAGTTGACGGGGATATAATTTATAATAAAGAAGTCATAATTAACAAGCTCAACAAATTTTTTCTTGATATTGGACCAAAATTAGCTGATAAAATTCCAAAAACCAACTCAAACAACTTCGAATCTTATATAAATACACCCAACACATCTATGATAGAATCTAATTTAAACTTAAGTGAGATGCGCAATGCTTTCAACTGTCTAAAAAATAATAAATGTGCGGGCATTGATAAAATTAGCGTAAATGTAGTTAAAGCTGTGTTTGATATTATTGAACCATCACTGTTTCACATTTTTAATCTTTCTTTAAAATCCGGTATTGTACCGGAGAAATTAAAAATTGCTAAGATTATACCTATTTTTAAAAATGGCGATGATACAAATATGTCCAATTATAGACCTATTTCTGTCTTACCATGTTTCTCTAAATTGTTAGAACGAATTATGTATGATAGACTTAACAACTATTTAACTGAGAACAATATTCTGTATAATAAACAATTTAGGTTTAAAAAAAATCATTCAACGGACCATGCAGTAGTCGATCCAATAAATTATGTATCTAATTGGTTCAATAATGATTGCTATACATTAGGAGTTTTTATTGATTTGTCAAAAGCATTTGACACTGTTAATCATGATATTCTAATAAAAAAACTAGAAATGTATGGAGTATTAAACAATAACTTACAATGGTTTAAAAGTTACCTTTCAAACAGGAAACAATACATAATATATACAGAAAATGAAGAAAAAAAACATATCATAACTTGTGGTGTTCCCCAGGGATCAATCTTAGGGCCCTTATTATTCATACTGTTCATTAATGATTTGTATTTAGCATCCAAAATTCTAAACGTTATTTTGTTTGCTGATGACTCAAATCTTTTTTACTCTAACAGAAATATTAAAGATCTGTTTAGAATTTTTAATGAAGAGTTATTAAAAATAAATGAATGGATTACGAATAATAAACTTTCATTA